ACCCCCTGCAAGCGCCGCGCGCCCAGAGCGCGGGCGGCCAATCTGCGGCACTCCCAGGGCCGGCGCTCACCGTGCGCCATGTGCCCGGGGCCAGCTCCGGCACCATGCATGCGCCACGTGCCCGGGGCTAGGCCAGCCCCGAGCACATGGCGGGCACACACAAATACCGTGTTGGGGACTATGGGTCTAAACTGTTTATAACCCCCTGCAAGCGCCGCGCGCCCAGAGCGCGGGCGGCCAATCTGCGGCACTCCCAGGGCCGGCGCTCACCGTGCGCCATGTGCCCGGGGCCAGCTCCGGCACCATGCATGCGCCACGTGCCCGGGGCTAGGCCAGCCCCGAGCACATGGCGGGCACACACAAATACCGTGTTGGGGACTATGGGTCTAAACTGTTTATAGAAGTTAAAATATTTTGCAGTTGTCATCTTCTTTTGTGTATGATGCATTTTTCTGGGCTTTATATTTTCTCTTCATAATGATGTTTGAAAATGTAAAAGAAGCAGGCAAGTTAAGTAGTAGAGTAACATAGGAGTTTGCATACCATACTCTTGGGATTGCAGTCCATAACATTGATTATTCTTGTGTCTGATAGAGGCCAGAACCAGATACTTATAGAAGTGCAAGAAACCCAATAGTGAATAGTTATGGAATAATCTGGTCATTTGACGGAGTTAGAAATTGGTTTCCACCTTCAAAGACAGGAATTTAGATCCTTTCTATTTTGTATATTCTATCAGAGGGGTAGCCGGGTTAGTCTGAATCTGCAAAAGTGGCGAGGAGTCCTGTAGCACCTTATAGACTAACTGAAGTGTAGGAGCATAAGCTTTCGTGGGCAAAGACCCACTTCGTCAGATGCATGTCATGCATCTGACGAAGTGGGTCTTTGCCCACGAAAGCTTATGCTCTTACACTTCAGTTAGTCTGTAAGGTGCCACAGGACTCCTCGCCGCTGTATATTCTATGTAATTCAACTCTGGATGCTTCCATTGTCCATCTATATGTACGAAGTATATCTACACTACAAACTTTGGCTGACTCAAGTTACTTCAGCATAAAGCTATCTCAGTTACTATATCTCTCATTTGTGTACATATTTGGCTTTTTGCGTTTGCACTGTATATGCTCATATGCAGGGCTCGCCGAACCGCGGCGAGCCCCTCTCGCCAGCCATGCTGTCCGGTGATCTGCGCATGCATAGATCATTCTGCGCATGCGCAGATCACCTGAACCCAGCTCTTCTGGGTTGCAATCTACTTGCCACAGGAGAGTAGATTGCATTATTTGTCGAGTCCTGCTCATATGGAGTATTTGTTTTGATGCCTATTGCTGTGCAGCATGCGTAGGTATCGCAGGGTGAAACTTGACATTGTCCAGCACAGTGTCTTTTGGTAATGCAATGTGTGATAGAAATGAGTTGTTCAGGGGTGACTGGAAACAAAGGGTGAAGTTCCCAACATGCAGCTTCCTCCATTCCACAGAGTCATCCATATTTCATATTTTTTGAGCTTTTAAAAATCTTGAAAATCTGCATCCCCCTACACAGTTGTTATGAGTGTTGCAAACACAGGATGCACACTCTTTTTGCTATTTTCAAAGCTTCAAGAAAAACTGGAGGCCACTTAGGGTGACATAAGCAAACACAGTGTCTACACCAGGGATGGGCAAGACAGCCTCAGTGGGCTGGATCTGGCCTGCCAAGCCAGTGTATCTGGCATGTGGCCGCCCTGCCACTCTCCTGCCCCAGCTCTTACTACTTTTAAACTGCAGAGCCACAGCAGAGGTAGCTCCTGGACCAGCGCAAACTGGGGCAGATCACCTTCCCTTATCAACTGATCGATTAGTCAGTTGCCCACCTCTTAACATTCTTACTCCACTTATCAGTTAATGATTTAAGCAGCTACATCATTACGTCCCTGGTGTAAGAACAAAACTACTTAGGCTAACATACATTCCACATTTGAAACCTTACATCAAGGCTACTCAACTTTGGAAGGCCTGCAGGCCACAGTGATACTCACAGCACATGCCAATGGCCACAATTTAAGTATGGTTGCATATACATACAAATATATATGCAAATAGCTTCTTTCACACTGAAGGACACAAATACAAAGAGTAAGGCAAGACTACACAACATGTAGGCCCCATTTAAGTCAGTTCTGCTGATATTAATAAAATTCAATATTTACTCAATTTCTACCCATATGGCAGCACTTTTAATGAGCAATGACAGTTCAGGAATTTTAAAACAGGAGGCCATTGTATTGACTACTTTTCTGTTTTGGATCCCACTCGTGGGCTGTGTGTTGAGCCCCTGTGTAAATCCAAACTGCAGTGCAGGCCTCAAACAGGCTGCGGGGCTACGTGCGACCCATGGGCCACATGTTGAGTAGTCCTGCCTTACATAAATACTCTGTTCTGGGTGACAGCATACTTTGCTTGAATACTTGAGTATGGTAATTAATATCTTTGTTTCTTTTCAGACTATATGTGCTTTGATTTGCAATCGACCAATTATAAAGCCAGAGTACTTTGTGGAATGTATTCAAGCCATTCAATCCAAGCAACAGTTACCAAAACTGGAAAGGTAAATGGCATGTTTTCAGTACTACAAAGTTGCATTTAGCATGGCTTAGTTTCATTTGATACTTATGTGACTTGGGTGCTAGATTAATCATCTTTCATTTTGTTTCTCACACCTATTTTCTGAATTTATATAATTATATTACTTCTGCAACAAGAAGCCTCATCAACTGTCCTGCTTACATGTAACTGTTACGTCTTACTGCATGTGCAATAGCCTGTATTATTCAGCATGTAGGATAGTCTAACACCATGGTGTCTAACCAGTTCTGAAGTGCCACTATAGTGGCTACTGCTGTAACAAACTAGCCACGCTCAATTGGTCAAATAGCCACATTGTTCAAGCCAACTAGCCACACTCAACCGGCCAAATAGCCACATGGGGTTAATGGCTAGCATGTTGGACACTACAGGTCTAATATCTGTTTGTTACAGTGTATGCATTTATATGGAATATAACTAGTTGATAAGACTTAAACCCATTTATAATAGCATTGCTCTATTTCTCAAAGTATAGAGAGATTTTTACCTTTTCTCTTAAAAGTTCTAATTCCAACTAATATTATGATGCTGTGATCAATTCAATATTTTTTTTTGAATTTACTTTCTTGCCCTGTACAAAGTGAAAAGATGTAAAGTACAGCACTGAAAAAGTTTTGAGTGCAATAATTTGAGTTGCAGCAGGCTGTTTAATTTGAAACATATTACATTCTGGTAATTTTCTTGCCTCCATCCCTGAGGAGTTAACAAAGTTAATATATAAATGTGAGTTCTTGATGTTCATTAGATGCTTAGAGACATTACTAGCTCTACGTAGGCCTCATTTTCAGAGGTTGCCATAGAGATCTCTATGGTAATATATTCAAAGCAGCATGTATACTCTTTTGGGAATAGATACATTAAAAATCTAATTTTCTTGTTTTAAAATAATTATATAAAGCTTACCTCAATATGGAAACTTATTCTATAATTTTTTTCAGTTTGTAAGTCTGGGTTCATTTTAAGCTTTGGTCATCAACAGAAATAATGCAGCTATGTTCAGTTGCTTGAAATACCAATTTTTTGTGCTTTTTTTGGTCTGAAGGTAAATATGCCACTAGATAACAAGAACGAGGTCATGAATCCCGTGTGAAAGAATCACTTTTTTTAATCTTGTGTGACCAGATCGTACATCTCTGGGATACCTCATTTTACAAGATAAATAGGATGCATACTTTGGCTCTATCACACAAATACACAATGTGAATTACACTTAATGCCTGTGTCTCTGAGATTGTTGTTTGGTCTTGTATGTTTCACATTAAGAACATAGGTAGTATCAGAGTAGAAAAGACTAATGGTCCCTTTTAGTCTGCTCTCCTGTCTGAGCCTTCAGTTAATATCACATGCTTTAGACAGAAAGCATCATGGTTTTCACAACTTGTTTGTTCAGAAATTATTCTGGAATAAGATAGGGTATGAATTTAAAGTGCCTGTAGTTACCGACAACCTTTCCATATGTGGATTAGGGATGTTAACGTGTACCCGTGTACACAGTTAACCGGTAAACCTGGGCTCATCGGGTAACTCTCACAGTTATGCACACACAAACAATCCACTGCCTCTGTATCACAAGCAGTGGGATGGGGGAGGTGGGAGCCAGTGCTCAGGGGGGACCTGGTGCTTCTGCTGAGCCGACTGCCCCTACCCTGCCCCGCACTGTTCCCTCTGTATCAGCATTTGCTCCTGCTTGCCCCCCTGCATGTAAACATTTCAGTAGTTATACTTTTACAAAAATAAACATATTTTAACATTCCTAAGGTGGATGCTCTCTTATTTCCTGGTTTAGCTTAATCTTAAACTAAATCGGCAATAGCTCTGAAGCACTCAGCTGGATAGATATTGTAATTATAGGTGCTGTTCTTCTGTTCTTAAATCTTTAATTAAGATTTTGCCTCATTGATAATCTGTGACAGTAAACTTTGTAAGTAAAATGGAAGGGTTATTATCTTTAATATGCTGTGAAGTTAAAGACAATATAAAATAAAGTCAAAACATTACATTAAGTGGTTAGGATGCATGATACAAGAAAAATAAGGCATGCTATGTTCTGCAGTACTTAGTTGAAGAAGACATTTGAAAAGCCATTTTTCATTTTGTATATGTACGCAATCTTGGTTTTCCCTCATATATTCTTTTAAATTTTGTGAGTATTAGATGCCATCACGTGGGGTGGGGCTAGGGGCTGTTTGTTTGGAGTTTTCTTTAGGTATCTAAAAATGAATAGAGATTGTTTTAGATATCGAAGGGTTGCTGGAAAGAAATGTAATTTCTTTTTTAATATGTCTGAAGCTAATTATTGATGTAATACTTTAAAGAAAAATTGCTGTTAAATCAATCAAGCGTCACTGGAGTTAGTGTCTCTGAACAAGAAGAATTTATCACAGTAATTACTGGCCTTCCCTATTTTAAAATTATAGAAGCTTTATTTTTTAATATTTAATGGCACATCAAGCCTAATCAATTATTCAGAATAATTTGTTCATTTCCTTCTAAATTACAGAAGATTTAAAAACAAAGATACAGGTTGAACCTCCCTGGTCTGGCACCCTCAGGACCTGACTGGTCCCAAAAGAGGGAGTTTGCCAGACCAGGGGAGATCAATTCTGGCCTCTCTGCTGATGGACTGCGGGATCTCCTTGGGTTTGTCAGCAGACACTGCTGGGCTCTGCTGCTGGCTCCGGGCTGCTGGCCTGGCTTTGCTGCTGGCCCTGGGCCACCAAGCTCCTTTCCCCTGAGCTGCTAGCCCGGGTCTGCTGTTGGGCCCCAGCTGCCAGGCTCTGCACCCCTAACCCGGGTCTGCTGCCAGTCCAGTTCTCCTCCTGGCTGCCAGCCAGGCTTCCTGCCACCAGCCCCTGGGCTTCTTGCCCCCAGGCCACAGAGTTCCAGTCTCAGCCACTGGACTCCCAACCACTGGGGCTCTCTGGTCCAAAGGCTCTCTAGTCTAGCAGCATCCATGGCCCTGCCAATGCTGGACCACAGAATCCTGGACAGAGTTGTTCGACCTGTACTTGATACCTTAAGAACATAAGAACGGCCATACTGGGTCAGACCAAAGGTCCATCTAGCCCAGTATCCTGTCTTCAGATTGTGGCCAATTCTAGGTGCCCCCAGAATGAACAGAACATATAATCATTAAGTGATCCCACTCCTGTCACCTATTTGTAGCTTCTGACAAGCAGAGGCTTGGGACACCATTCCTGCCCATCCTGGCTAATAGCCATTGATGGACGTATCCTCCTAATTCTTTTTTGAACTCTGTTAAGCCCTGCAGTGTAGATGCACCCTAACTTGAAAGAAGCTACACAAATTGAGCTCCGTCAATTGCGTAGCTTATTTTGAAATAGGGAGCCGTCTACGCAGCACTTATTTCGAAATAGAGCTCTCTTCCTCCGACTTACCCTCATTGTATGAGGAATAAGGGAACAGGAGTCGGAGTAAGAAGTCCTCCAGCTTGACAGTATTTTGACACTATTTCTAAATAACTACCTGCTGTGTAGATGCACTAGTTATTTCGAAATAGTGTTGTAGTGTAGATGTACCCTTAAAGTCCTGGCCTTTACAACATCCTCTGGCACAGAGTTCCACAAGTTGACTCCAATAGCTGAATAGCTATGAAAGGTTAAACTAGAGCTAAACTGTGATCAAGAAACCGGTTGTGCAAGTTGAACCTCTATAGACTGTCACCCTTTGGACCTGACTGGTGCTGAATCTGAGAATTTGCCAAATCAAAGAAGGTCAATTCAGTGTGAGGATTATCTCTTGTTATTTTTATTTCGCCAAGGCAAATAAATGGAACAGCCTGAATTCCACTTCCAAAGTGATGAGACAATAATTGCTAAATCAAATTACAATATTTGGCATTGTTGATATAGATATATCTGCTCCACTTTGCTGCCTTTCACCGATCTTCCAACTTGTCTCATGTAGTTTGTTTGTTCTTGATACGATACAAGAAAAACTCATTAGAGAGACATGACCTATTGCTCAGAAAAGTGTCTTTGCTCCAGTCCTATTAAATGTGTTGCCAACTGAAGGCATTTTTTTTCTCTGACCTCCTCCTCTTCATCTTCATCACCATCATTGGCTTCTTTGTTATCTTTCCCTGCTGTACTAGTTGCATAATTTCTTCATTGGTCATTTGATTAGCAATTGGTGTATCATTGTTGACTTCCATCTGGTCTAGTAAATTTTCCCTCTCCCAAATCCTTGGCCAGCTCAAGCACTACAGGGTGGGTCATACAGGGTGGGATATACTCCATTAACTTGTTAACAATTTTTTGGTTTTCAGACACTTCATATCCAATGAAGTTGGACGTGCCATTGATTTCAGGGCCATGCCCAAACATTAGAGCTGGCCACATTTGATGCCATCCATTCTTCAGAGTAGATGGAGATATTCTTTCCCAGGTTCTAGCTAGCGTTCAGATTATATCCTTGAGGTTAAATTCTTTCCTAAATGGTGTCCAACTCTTCCAATCATTAAAGCGGTACTAGCATTTGGCCCATAAACTCAGACCTGTACGTACACTTTAGGGATTGTAAGATGTGCTGATCACAAATCTGAATCAATGTGATACAGTTTGGATCTAAATACAGTCCCCTTACATTATCTTTAACAAGCAGCTGTGCTTTAGGGCTTTAGCAGTTGTCAAAAATAAGCACAATTTTGTGTTTCGGATCCAAACCTCCCAAAGTGCTATGGGCTTTTGGCTCCAGTACATACATTTCTCAAGCCACTCGAGACATAGATTAGTTGTTATCCATTCCTTTTTGTTGTCATGGTATATCGCTGGGAATATTCACCCCTTTGAATGCCTTTGAGTTCACACTTTTCCCAGTAACTCTGTTTGCATTTGTTAAGGATTTTAGTGCAAACCTGTTGAAACAATTAACTGATAAGCCTAGGCTTATTGGTTAATTCAAATGACTACACACCTCCTGCCCTTGCTGCCTCTGTATCAG